GGCGATCCGTATCGGAAAATGGATCGCCCAACTCTGTTTGCAACTAAACTTTCATTTATAAAAATTAAACTTTCAAGAATAAAAGCGCATCAATTAGTTAGATTACAATTAATCATTGAATTACAAATTAAACATTTAATTTTAATTGCCTATCGACATCCGTTGTACGATAAAAAATTAAACGGAAACCATTGAAATCTTGAATGAAAGGAATAGTCATGCTTTGAATCACTACGAATCGTTAAGAAAGAAACGAAAGCCTTGAGAAAAGTCGAAGTGAATTGAATTTCAGATATCACTAAAGCATTCAATAGAACTTAGATTATGGCTTTCTCATTTCTAATTCTCCTCCCACGATTCATTCCCTTCATTCCCGTTTCATTCGTAAAGCTAAATTGCCCAAATTTTCATAGCAATTGACAAATTTCATTTGTAGGGAAATTCAATTTCTATTTCTGTGCAAAACGATAATGACGTTCAAACTGATGGTGGTTGGTGTGGGTGGGGAGTTGGTTAAAGGCGAATTTTTACTCACACATTTATCGAGAAAAAAAAACTTTTCCATCATTTCAAGATCATTTTAGTTGAGCAGTCACACCCTTCCAATTTGTACCAATAACTACCATAGATTGTTCATCGTGGGGAGAAGAGACAGTCGATGGGTAAAAGAAAATCAAAATCGATACAATAGGCATAATTTAGCCGTGAAGCTTTTTCGCTTCTCATCAATTTATAGTGACTTCATGTGTGTGTATGCTTTGCAGGGAATGCTGCCGAAGCTTCTCCGCAGCCAGATGAGAACGTGAATTCAATTAAAATTTTTCATTTTTCGTCTACCGTTTGCAAACATGCATGCTTATATCATCAAGCAAATTTATGGGTCAAATAAATTTTCCACTTACATTTTCTCCCATTCCCCCACTCATCCCCAACCTCATCTCATTGTTGCTATCAATGTGTGTACTGTAAAAAGGATGAATGTAATTGAAATTACTTTCAGAATTAGAGAGGAGAATTTTTCGATGCCGCGAACCGATTACAGATGAGACGAAACATTTTCCCAATTTTAGTCAATTGTGTTGGTACCACACGCCGAACGATGCATTTTCTCAATCGCTCCCAATTCGTGATGATGCATAGTTATTTATTAGCTAAAATTGTAGCAACGTATCGTCTCATTCCACATAATTCAGAGTCCAGTTGTGCTTCATCAGACAATTATTTTTAATTTAACTCGGAGGTTCTCTTTTACTAAGCTTTATTTTGTATCGTTGTTCACTGTTTTCATCATCAGACGATGCCATAGCTAGTTATTTGATTATCAGATGAGAGAAATTTATATTTTCCGTTTTGGTAAAACTTTCCATCTCTTGAATGCGCTTCTAGCGAGTTTTTCTGTCCAATTTTCATGAGTTTGTGTATGTGAATGTGTGAGGTGCTCGGTAACAAAATTGATGCGAAATTTATTGTTTGAGATAGAAAAGAATGATGAGAATTGCTCAAATATGGAAATTTATAATTCTTTGTCTATGCAAGTCGTCCTGGTATCGACACGCTCTCATTTCTCGCTTAGATATTCATTTTAAATGAACTCAATCCTTCCTCTTTCCCTTTCACCCCGCCACCCAAAGTCAATTTTGATAAGCCACAGGAAGTTTATCTCTTCGTGCATCTCTAACTACAAAAAATTTTCATTTCTGTCTTTGAATCGACAATAAATTGAATTTGAAGTTATAAAATAGAATTTTATTAAAAAAATGCAAGCATATGAGATGATTTTGTCAATAAACTTTATTTAGTATGTAATTATGAAACTTGAATGTATTTATGTGCTTTAACTTGTCTGATGATGTTGACACCTACAACAAGTGCTCTAAATTGGATTCATTAATTAAGAGAATTTCTATTTCATAACAAAACATCGAAAACGACCCTCAAGGCGTCGCTTTTAACTGCTTTAATATTGAAATTAAATTATTTTCACACAACTTGTGTTGTCTATCTTTATGGAAATTGAATTTTATTGTCGTGCTCTAGTTCCGGTTTTTATTTTGTGTGTGTGAAAATGTTTTTGAAAAATTTTCGCTATCGATTTTAGTGGATAAAAAAAGAAGGAAAAAAACATGACGAATTGAAAAAGAAACTTTCTTAGACTAAGAAAATTTGTGAAAATCGAAAAGTTTTCTTCACAAAAATTTTACTTGTTATGTTTCATGATGAACACTTTCTTTACAAGAAACTATTTCTCAGCAGAAATTTTAGAATTAAATTTTCTCGTTACCAGTGAGTGGAACTATAATCAGAACTTTCCTTTCTCGACTTACTTCTTAAGATCATCTAATGAATTAGATCAATTTGCTTCAGTCTCTGCTCGTTTCACTTCTGTCAGTTTCTTCGTTTTTCTCATTTCACCCTCTTGACACTCTCACCCCATCTTCACACTTTCATTCTTTTCCTCGCTCTCGTTAATCATTTTCATTTTAATTAACTGCCTGGCTTTTCAATTTCCGTTTGTGATAGGAACATTTTCGGTGTGAATTATTGATTGTGTTAAAGGTGCTTTTGCTGTTGGTTTTGATCCTAAATCCGAGCGACAGCAGGAGAAGACGAAAAGTTTTGTAATTTCTTATTAATTCTAAGCGCCATTAGGAAATTGCTTTTCTCGTCTCTATTCGCTTTACACAAAATCTTTTCTTCAAGAAAACAGAAAAATTAATGAATATGAAATATTAAATAGAGTTGTTCGTAGATGACGATGAGTTTAATTTCTCTTCTGCCCAAAATTGTTTTCTTCATCATTTCCCCTCGCTTTTAACGACTGATAACGTTCCATTGCAAAACCACAAGCAGTAGCACACTCAACCTCGCCCACCTAAATTTAATTAATGGCGATATTTATCATTTGATTTTTAATCTACAAAATGGATAGAAGAACATAAATCATTTTGATATCAAAGGAGAAAAAGAGAAAGATAGAAAATTGGGTTGCTATTATAATTTAATCAAATATATTCATTCATTGTATTTATGTATGAGATTCTATGTTTGTGTCTGTTCCACATTTGTCCCCTTCCTCCCACTCATAACAACAAGCCAAAAAAAAAGATAAAATCCATCGCTTATCGTAATAAGAATTCCGCCACCGACTCTCGGCATATAATCCATTTAAAAGATTAATTCAATTTGCCACCCCTTCGATTCATGTCTTGTCACAAAATGTGACGCGCTTTTGACTGTTGTTTTGGCTTTTCTTCTATATGTGAACGTTCTTCAACAGAAATATAAAGTCGAAAGCCAATATAGCAATCATAAGTGTTCCAAAAAGTCAAATGAAAGCAAGTACATCTAAACGATGTTGAATGAATATTCCACCCTCAAATCACCCACACTCTTAATTCTAAATGGCTTTGTTTTCTATTTGAGGCTTGTTAAAACAGATAGAAACTTGTAGTTTCATTGAATAAAGAAACAAATGCTGAATGCTGATAAGACATTCTGATTATGTTAAAGATGTTTATAGAGAAGAAAAGGAAGAAGAGGGCGAACTAAGATCCTTTTTGATTAAATGAATTTTAATTTACTTATCACTATCATTATCATTATCGTCATTCCTCTTAATAGACGTTTTTTTTTAATTTGCTAAATGAATTTCGCCTCCTCTATTGCTTATACCATTGAAAACATAAACTTTTCCGTCCGATTCAAAGAAAGCAGATGGAATGAAGAAAATAAGAAATTACAATTATTTGTGTTCAGTTTCATTTGTCTAATTGGATGTAATCTTCCTTCTGTTTCTTCGTCTGAATGTTAATCTATGACGATTTTATGAGAGAGTCGAGCATTGTGAAAAAAGAAGAAAGAAAGAAAAATAAACTATTCTTGTGTCTGGTGAGTGCGTGAAAGTGAAAGAAAAGTTAAAAGCAAAGGCAAAGGAATTCTTGTGCGTGTGTATGTGGCATACTTTTTTCATTAAAGATAATGAGATAGCATCGAGAGTGAAAATTCAAGGGTGGATAATGAAAGCATAGAAGAACGAAGAAAATGCCATCATTTACTTAAACCTAACCCTTTCTAATTAATTAACGAAGCGTTTTGAAACGAAAGAAAATATAATAAAAACATGGAAGGGAAAACTAGTTGAATGCTTTTTGCACGTTAATTATGTAATGTGAAGATGAAAAATATTAATTTGTCGTTTGAAATATGATGAGTCATTTGTCAAACATGTTCATGATTATTCAAATTTTGAGACTAAAATATGAATTTATTTTACAAAATGTTTTCCTTCTTTTCACAGATTATTTGGAAATTCAGGAGCGTGTTCAGCATGTGGTCAGATGATTCCAGCAAACGAGCTTGTGATGAGAACAACTTCAAATATGAATCAAAACGGCGTCAATAACAACACGCCGGCCAACAATCAAAATATTCAACATTTTGTGTTTCATCTGAAATGTTTCTCGTGCTCAAAATGTGGCTCGCATTTAGTTCAAGGTGATAGGTAAGTTGAAAATAACATTAATTATCTGTGTGACTTTTGTAACATTAATAAATGTGTTAATTAACAGATACTACATGTTAGCTGGTAGCTTAGTATGCGAACAAGATTGGCATAAGCTCGTGAAAACGGCACCCACACCGACGCCACCATTACGCAAAGGAAAGGTAGGTCGACCTAGAAGATCGCGCGACTGAGATGGCCCACGCCTTGGTCGTCCACCTAAGATCAAAAAAGTCGAGGACGATCAACAGCACGCGCACCCTCCAATCTTGCCATCAGTTATACTGGAGGATGATTCGACACGAAACTTGGTGATACCGCGGCTTCATCATCATCAATCTATAATGGCAAGATCACCTAATGAAGGTTTATACAACAATTTATACGACAAAGATATGGGATTGATGAGAAAATTGATGAACTTGGATGAGTTTCAATGTCCTAGTAGCATGACTCATACAAATAATAACAACATCAATAGTAATTGTGTCGGTTTGCCTAACAACGATATGATTGCAACGAAACAATTTCATCAATATCCGAATGGCATTTTCAATGGGAAATTCGCCAACTCATCAAATTTTCCATTTCCTTTTGATAAACCTCAGCAACAACAACAGCAACAGTCGACAAATGGCATCAGACATGATGGTTTGCTGAAGCCCTGCTACGACTTTCCATTGAAATCTGATGCAATTGATGACAATTTTGGAAGCAATCCAATATCAGTAGGTGGTTTTAAGAAGCAGCAGCAGCAAGCATCGATTTTTACGTCCAGTGGCTTCATGAATCAATTCCCTCATGAATCATTATTCAGTGCCAACAATCATCATTCGACATTCACCAAGCTCAACGAAATCAATAATAATAATGGCGGAGGGATGGTTGTGAAGATGGAAAATGATTTTAACACAATGCATATGAACAGTAAACAAAATGAACTTTTATGTTCTCGAAGCTCAAATAATTTGAACAAAACTGAACCAAATGAATTTAGAAATAGTAGCTGTAAAAGTAGCGGCGCTGATAATACGCTACAAGATGATGATGAAAACAAATCATCAACGCTGCATGATGAAAGCAATGATGGCTTCACGCAATTGTAAACAATTCTTATTTTTATTTAAGCTTTGGATCTCTAGTAGATTTAAATGGTGATGCAAGTATGCAATGATGTATAAACCTGTTCAGTTCTTTGTTTACTTTTATGTCAGTTAATCGAATTAAAATAAATCTGTCGCGTTGTGAGTCATCTTCAGTTTTTGTTTTACATAATTGATGGAGAACATATCAGGAAAATTTCGTCTTAAACATACCTGATAAATCTTTAAATATGATCATAAGAAAATAAAAGAAAAAAGATAAATTATAAGTGATTAAAGCCCTCTTTGAGTTGATAAGCATTATTTGAACATTGGTTTTTGTGAGAGAAAGATTTACGTCTGCTGTTACAGAATGCTGTAATGCTAAAGCAAGATTCTAATGAAATTTCTCCCATCAAAATCGTTGTTTTAATCATCACACATTTTTGTTATTAAATTGATAAAATTGTAAAAAGAAAATGAAATAAAAACGTTGTTTCAAGATATCAAAGAATTTTAGAAGTTAGTAGAACATTTGAATTTAAAAAATAAATAAAGTTGAGGAAGTGTTAAAGTGAATGATTTGATTTTGATTATTGGAAACAATTAATTAAAATGACTTCATTAACTTTGTCAACTCAGATTCAACTAAGCTAGCAGTTGCATAAAATAATTGATAATTTTATGACATTGACTCAAACTGTACGAGCACAAATATGTTATATGGTGAAAACTTTGATGGAAAAACAAGAAATATGTTTTAACTCTTCATCTTTGAACTTCTCATATGGAAGGAAAAAAATATGTTAAATTTATGTAAAAACATAACTTCAAGCTGGATAATTCACATTTGTAAATATGAAACGGAAATAAAATGAAATAATTAATTAAAAGTCATAAAAGAAATAAATTGACAAAATCAAAATCGTTTAGTTTTAATGAATTTTCAGGTTTTCATCAGGTTGGATAATTCATTGAGTGTGAAAATTTTTCATGCATTTAAAAGTTAATTAATTTGACATCCTAATTTCTTATGTTGTTCATTATTAATTTGGAGTGTTTCATAAGTCATTAAATTGTCGAGTCACTGCCCTCCAACAAATGTTCTCGTTACAATTGATTTCATGATGTCAACACAAATTTTGCTGATAACAATTCATGTTTGTTCATTATCATTGGAATTCTTCCTCATAATTCACAACGATAATGGATCTTCACACTTAATTTGGTACATTCATCGTGATAGAGCATATTGTATTCACATCGTCAACAAAAGATGAGATATCTTGACATAAACTCACCTAAAAGTTATTTAGAATTATCATGCATAAGAGCATAAGCATGAAGAGAAATTCCGCATGCAGATTAATTTCTCGTTGAAAAGCTTTATCATCATTAATGGTGGAAAGGTAAAATGAAAAGTTTTTATTATTATTATGATTTTTTTTCAGTCTATTTGATGATGAATGAGCTTGATGCTCGTTATCATCTATGAAAATGTGACTCTATTGTCAGATGCATTAGTATAATTATTCATTAGCTGCAATGAAAAATTACCCTTTTAGCTTAATTGACACTGAGATCTTTCTTCTCACTTTCATAGCACAATAATGAATGAATGAACACTTTTGCTTGCATTGCTTTCATCCAAAAGTAGTAAAATAAAAAATAAAATTAAAGGAGGCTAGGGGGAATATAAACAGTAAGCGTCAGCAGATGTAGAAGCGAGAGATAATAACAGAAGCACCTTCCATTCATTTACGTTGCATTGACGAATGAAACAAATTTGCTGATTCTTCAATTTATTCCAACACACGTTGTGTCCATAGTTTAACTGATTATTGTTATGAGGTCATCAACTTCAAGTCTTTAACTTCCAACAATCGCATCATAAATTCACAAAAAGTATGAAAATTAATTATTTAAATAACTTCTCAAACTAAATCACGTTCAGTGAAAACAATTTTCGCATGATTAACACTCATTAAATTTTCAAAGCGCCTTATTGCTTTCGCCATAATATTTTTTATTCTCCTTCCTTCAAACATAATTATTAATTATGACGAAGCTTGCTTGGCAATATGAGTTAATTATTGATGAAGCAAAAGTTTTTATTTTCAGTTCACTTACGCGCCATATTTTCCATCAATATTAAATTAATAAAAGTTTGAGACTTTTTGTTTAACTCATTAGCGGTGGAAATTTCCTTAAACAAAGGATATAAATCGACGTAGAGAGTATTAAAAATACTTAGGAGTGAGATGGAAGTTCACCCTCATCCGCTCTTATTAGGAAAGAATTTTTCGATCATCGGCATACTTTATCAACAAAACTTTACTTTCATCAATTTTCTTTCGTTTAACATTTTTTTTAAAAAAAAAAATACTTTTAATTATTAAATTAATGAAAGGAGGAAAAAAATTAATTAAGTTAAGCTCTTCTAATGAAGTTTTGAAATTAAAACATGAAGAATGACAAGCAGGTAATTTAATAAGCACAGAAAATGAACTGGAAATGTTGACGTCGAACCTTATTAAGTTCATAAATTCCTCAAACAATCCCCAACTCACTCGTTATGGTCATTTAAATCTCTCATTTAGTTTATAGTAGCGAGAAAACTCTTTTTCTAGCTGTCAACACTCACCACACATTGCAATCATATTTTCATTCAACAGACAGCAAACCGAATGATATTAAATAATTGGAAGGGAGAAGGAGAGAGAGAGAGAAATCATTAATTTAATAATCAAAATATTTTCACAAGAAATCAGCGAACTCGTGAATGTTGAATTAATGTGCAAACATGTGAGAAAATTGACAATGAAATGTTTGTTTGGTCTGATGTTAAAACAGTGAGTGAAACTTGTTGTTAATGCTTTTAAAACTGGTATTTGGTGACAAGTGACAAGAACAACTTTATAGCAGAATGTGCATTAATATTAATTAGATGTTGAAACATTTAACTTAATTAGCACTTGCATGAAAAAATTTATTAAATTCTTACTTTCAATATTTAAACTTTTACTTAAGCGTTCCAAATATCACTGAAACATTTTTTAATTCGTTTAAATTGTCGGCAAGTTGTTTGAAGCTTGAGATATTTTTCAGATATTTAAGCCATGGACATTATTTTTCTTTTTAATTGATTGTCAGAATGTTGATAGAAAAAGCGAAAAATCTACTTTATGGTCGAACTTCGGTACAAACATGTAATTCTTATTTTTATTTATGACTCGCTTGCAAATCCCTTTTTAAAGCTTATTTTCGCAAAATAAAAAATAAAGTGAAGCATATATATTTATTTTCTATTATTTAAAAACAAATTGATCGCATCACATGGGTCCCCAGCAAATTGTTTTTCCATTTTCCATCGCTTACACACAGCAATTTTCTCCCTTTATTGAATTCATATTTTTTTTGATATTTATTGCATGAAGCCCTCACATCGTTTATTGCGTGAGTAAGGGATTACTGATCAAGATAATTTATGGGAAACAATCTCAAGTGGAAGATGGCAGAACTTACTTAGTGTGGATTTGTATCAAGGCGATTGTTTTGCTGGTCTTTATTTCGCATTATATTTGTGGCCACCCACAATTTACATTAAAATCATAAAAATATCCAAGAAAATATCATTTTTCTGAATACACCTGAGAGAATTTTAAAAACCACAAAATAAAGAAAGAAACTACAGACAAATGCGATTCAAATGAATGTTGCTGAAAACACGTGGACAAGTAGGAGTTGCATGACAAATTGCGCAAACTCCACAATCTCTCCGAAAAAGAAGCGAGCAAGAATGAAGCTGTGCTGTTAGTTATGCTTTCTCTGTCTTCTCTTCGGCAAACTGTTAAAGAATCTCATTCAATATTCAACAAGTGGGCGTTCGAAGACGACAAATGTTAATAATACTATGTTAATGTTTATCGCATTGCACTTACAGGTTTTTACGAACAATAAACTTTCATTGAAATATTAAAAGTCAAGTTCTGAGTTGATGTGGGATATAGAAAGATGAACCAACAATCTCCATGCAATTCTGATTTATAAGGAACTTTCAATTCAAATTGCAAGCTAAATTTATTTCCTCGATAAATTTTCCTGATTTTTCCAAACAATTTCCCGTAACAACAAAAGGATTAAAAATCTATTGAGCGATATGTGATTTCTGCATGAAAATCGTTCTCAATTGTTGTCATTAAAAACATTTTTAACGATGTTTAATTCGAACAGGCGAATGCAGAGAGATTCGCTTAATCGCACAAGTGTTTTGTTGATGATATCCATGAATACCTGCAACATTCTATGTTTATTTTCGCTTCACATCAGGTGAACAAGGAAAACATGTTAAGAGGAAAATCAACAAGGATAAGTTTCTAATTTTTCCATCTCATGCTAATGCTATGAATTTCAAAAGAAAATTGGAAAATTTTGCGAAAATCTCTTGTTGATTTTTCCATACGAACATTTTCAAGCATTCTTGTGTTAACTCATGCGAAAATATTTCTCTTAATAAATTTTCCGTCATACACATTGTTCGAATAGTTTTAAGCACTGAAAATGGCGAAGCAGCAATATATTTAAATTTCCAGGGATTTTTCAACGCGAATTGTGAGATGGAACAACGAGGGAAGAGACATGAATGCCTTTTCATTTTATTTTGTGGTTTAAAAGTTCTTTAACGAGAATTTTTTTACTGTTAATTTCCATAGTAATTCCGACTTTTCCTGTGAGATTTTTTCTGTACTTTGTACACGACATTTAGAATTTACCAACGGAATTATCTACAGCAATAAAATATTTGAGACAAAGCAGTTAAAAAAAATACGAAATAAAATAAAAACGACTTATTTATTAGAGAAGTCATGGAGGTTTCTTTTTTTCGCAAATTCTCTGAAGAAGAAGGACAGCAGACAAGCTACTGGTTTGACATAAACGTTCCCTAAAATATTTCGCAACCCTCTCTTAAGTATGTTCTTTTAAAACATTTACAGCAAAAATGTTGCAAATAAAATTTCACTCATTAATGATTCAAACAGGAGAAAACAGCAAGTATAAGCACAGGGAAAAGAAATAGAGTGATATGTGTTCAAAACATGCGATGGTTCACGGTAGAGTCTTACAGCTTACTTAAACAAAAATGTGGAAAAACATGCCAAGACGCTTCTCATCTATGAAGACGTTTTGAGGTGAATAAATATTTAATTGAGTTGTGAGCTTGTTTTTCTTTACTGTTTGCTGCCTGTTGTGGCGTCTAGTCTCTCAGGAGAAAACGATTTTATGATTAAGTAGACTCAATAAAATGTAAGCTTTTTTTTATTGGAACGAAAATATGTTGGATCTTGTGAAATGAAAGGAAAATATTCTACTTACAGTCGTTTTGAAATGAATAAAATATCAAGTGACACAGAGAGATCAAAACGACAGTTTCTTTTTTGATTCCTTGGTGTGTCTATTTCTAAAAATATAAAAGCTATCAATGTCAGATGAGGAAAGGCCGAATGAAGTGTTAACAATTTTGTATCTTCATAACTGAAGATGTGCGTCACTCTCATTGCTTAGCAAGAAATTGACAGAAATCAGTGAAAAGAAACAAAATATTATCTGAAGAGTATCAATTTTAAACTTGTCATTTGTATTTAAATTTCAATAAAAAATATTAGAGACGATAAAAAGAAAAATATTTAAGATCTTATTATTGTTGAGTTTACTTTTATGATAAATACCAACCAAGCAAGCCAGCATCATCAAATTTAAAAGTCTTGTTGTATATGAATTTAATAATAATATGAAAGCAACGGGAAGATAGATAATTGCTGCTGATATTTAATGTAATTTAAATTTCTTAAAATATATCCGCTTAGAGTTTGTTTATTGTTTTTCACATATAATTTGTTTATTCACTACACCCACATAACAACGTTAAAAACGAAAGTCAAAGCGAAATGTTTTTAAAATATTCAAAGAGATTAGCGAACTTAATGGATGATGGTTTTGATTCTCAGTGTGGTTTTCCATTCCGGTGAATTTTAACGATGATGAACAAACAACAACGTACAAAGTTTGGAATTTATTATCTCTTTTTTGTATTTTGCATGAATAATCCAGGCTTACAAAGCCACAAACAAAAAAAAATCTTTTTTTGAAAGTTAGGAAAGTTTTTTTAAGTCTTCATTGTAGATTTATTTATAGATGATGGTAAGAGTAGTCGCCTTAATTCCATTATCGTTAAACTAAATGAATTTCAATTTTATTTGGAAAGAATCGGTGGAAATTCTTTGATCCAAAGGTTATATAAAAGTTATTCGAAAAGATATAAAACATTCATAAAGTGAAGCTTTTAATAATTTATGAAGTAGAAATATTTTCGTGAAAGTCTCTTATGAATTATTATACAACTTCACATGTCATACATAGAAAAAATGTCACAAAACTCTAAAGATATTCACATTCAAATGACCAGCAGAGCTCTCCTGCTCTCTAGATACTTAAACCAACAGTTAAAATGTCAGAAACGAAATTCTTTATATATTGTAAAATGGAATTTGCTTCATTTTATTTCCATGCTCAAGTGGAAAATCTCTTTCAAGTCTCATCGTGCCATATAATATTGTGATAAAATGAAAAAGTAGCTTCTCCATTGTTATCCTATTATGTTTCATGAAAATGGAAATAATTTATTGTAGAATCTCGAGCTCACAATTCTCAGTTTTTTGTTTCATAGACTTAAAACTCTTTTCATTGGAAAAAATTAAATAAAAAAAGTATCTACTCTCTATTTTAGTGAAGAACATTTAAAATAATATCTATGGTGCTTTTGGAAAAGTATTAAATTAATTCTTCAAAACGAGAAACTTTGAGAGGCCTTAAAGCATTTTAAGATGCTCACAGTTTCTGAGCGATCGGGTTGAGAACGGAAACTTTTCATATAAGAAAAAATATCAAGAAGCTTGCGCGCTTCTTAAATGAAATCTTATTAATAAATAAGCTTCTTGAAATTTCACGAGACTATTCGAAAATTTAAAGTAGGCATTAATAAGAGTTCCTTTTCATAATTTTGAGTAATTTGAGAGCTGATTTGAAGGGAAATGTTTCAAGTTAAAACGATGCTTGAAACAAACTTCAATTAAACCCTTTAGATATCATGAATAAAGCGTAAAAATAATTTAAGAAGCTTCACATTTTTAAATGTTCAACATAACTCATGTAGATAAAGTCAAGAAAAATATTAAAAAATTTCGAGATTTGCTTTTGTAAAGAATTTCACATTAAAATATCATAAATTATAAAGTGAATTATTTTGATTTTTTCATTTCAAAGCATACATCATAAATAAATGAAGAATTTCTAATGTTTGCAAGTCAAGAATTTGAATAAATTTCTCAACTGTTTAATGCTTTCAAATGAGTACAAAACGTTTAAAACTAACAAATTTCAATAAAGAACATAAATATTTGAATCATGATGAATTTATCTCGAAGAATTTTAAAACATTGAAATTAAAATGAATTTGAGGGTGGTGGCATTGAAATCCTCAGTTTTTCCTTCACATTTTCATTTGACTTCTGTTGATACTTATGTGATGCATGAGAATCATTTAACATAAATTATCTAGCAGTAAATTTGAATCGTAGAAATTGAATTAAAAACATACAAATTCGAGATAAATCAACATACAATATTTGATTATGTAGCTTCTTTGATATTATTTTCTTAAATCATGTGAAGAGTCGTGAAATTTTTCACCATCAAAGATGAGCTTTTGAAATTTACAAAGTGATTTATTCTGTTTGCAACTAAACATTCGTATTTGAAAGTTTCACAAAAAGAAAGATTTTTAAGGCAAACATAATCAGTGCAAATTCATTTGTCGAGTAAACATAGAAAGCTTTCTACCAAGAGTTTGTCAGAAAAACCTTTTGTGGTTTTTCCTTTTCTAAAAATCATTGAAAGCTTTGAAATTTGACGAAGTAGATTATGGAATTAAATTGAATTGAGAAAGAAAATTATCGCATGGTTTGAAAAGGTTTTTCAGAGTTAATTTACGATGAAAAATCAAGTGGAAGTTAAAAAAAAATTAAATCCTGCTTTATTTATTCGCTCTTGTGAATTAAAATTTTATCGGTCAGGGGGAAAAAAAGATGAAAATCCTTTTGCTCGATTTGTGTAGGATGGCTGGGTTATTCAAAGAACATCATTATCCTGCGGCTACTTTTACAACATCAGTGCTTCTGACGTCCATGAGATGGACGCAAACTTCCAACTCATTTTTTCGGACGCAAACATCAAGAGCTTTGAAATTATCAAAGGTTCTCTTATTTGCCCGTTAATTAAATATTTAATGAATGTATAAACATGCAAGCACAAAAATGAAAAAAAGAAATTGCAGAGAAATTGAAAAAGGAAAAAATGTTTAATGAATGACTTTTCAATTAAATTTTAAAAATAAAATTTCAGCAATTCAACATTACAGGCAAACCTTCTTGTGTAAATAAATAATTTAAAAATGTGGATATTTTTTCTACGTTTTACCATAATTTGAATATCATTTGAGATGTTTGGGGTCTTCTGGAACATTGAAATTGCTAACAATGTTAATCGTCTGTACGCCCACTTGTTGCGCTTTTGATTTGCGAGTTTGGAGACATTTTCCGCATGCGCAGATGAAATGTTATGCAAAAATATGTTTCATAAATATGTCCACGTGGTTTTTATATTTTATCATTAATAATTTTATTACAATTAACTAAAATGCAGAACATCAACCGTACATGACATTGTGATGTGTTATTGGACTGACAGTTCTTTCCCGATCAGATGGTTTCAATTTTTTTCTGCACATTGGACAGGTTCGATGCACTCGAAGCCAATCACTCAAGCATGAGTCATGAAATTCATGTTTACATGGAAGAATCGCAAAAAATTTTGGCTTAAGGTTTGTGTTTGATAACAAACAGATTGGGCACTTGTCGTCATCAGGAGTTGTTCGTCTTTTTGGAAATCGAAACATTTATTCAAGAAATTTTTGTTTTAAATTGAACAAGAAATTTTGAAATGACATTTATGTCATCAATTTACTACACTTTGTCAAAGCTTACTAACTTAATGTTCAATTTTTTTCTCCCCAACTTGCCTATGAAGAAGTCAATTGATAAATCTTTCCGCTTTTCACAGAGAATCGATCCTAGAAATATATGTGAATTCTAAACCGAAGGAAAATAGAGACGAAGATGAAAATTCAATTTTCCACTGGCGTGAAGTACGTGCAAAAAATTGACAACGAAAACTCGTCGATTGCCGTTTGATTTGATGAGAAGTTCCATTTTTCATACTTTTTTTTGCTTGAATCGAGAATTTTTTTCTCATCGCTTTTCTGCAATCGTCTGTGATAATGTTTGAGGAGACAAATGTTCCGCGCAATGAAATTTAAAAGACAAAAAAGTAAATTCAAATTGAATTGCACCACAATTTGCTTTTAACTCTCAATTAGAGACGAAAGCATACAAAAACGTTTCACTATTTGGTTTGTTGTATTGAAACAATTAAATTTCATTCTCCTGAATGAATTTTGGTTTTCGATTCTTTTCGGCATGTGTGTGTAGAATAGAGAAATGACCACAAGATTTTTTTTTCAATTAAACAGAAAGCGTTTTTAATAGAAATTGAATCAGAATGAAACTTTAACTTGATTTAATGGTTCATTTATCTGATATCATTATTTTCATCGCATAAAGACTATCAAAAGAATCTTGGTGTAAAATTATGAGGAGAAAGGTGATGAAAAGGAAATAAATTGAAGTGGAAAGGAAAATTTCTCATCGCGTTACTTACATTTGTGGGGAGGGAAAATAATCTGCAAGAAAAACAGCACATTTTCCTCGTTAAAATCAATTGAAAGGATCAAAGTTAAGAAAATAATTTTGCCTTTTGAGCTCTTCTTCTTTCTTGATAATTTGATTTCGTTTGACTCTTAATATCTTCGCTTTCTTTTTCTCGTCGAGTAAATTTCTTTGATTTTAATATTTAGTCTGCAAGAGATTTTTATTTCACCATTTCCGTTTGTGTAATTTGTTCAATAAAATTGATTGACATAAATCAGTGAAGCAAATGAATGTCAACGATAACAAGAAAGTAAACAAATCTCGTCACGAAAGTTTATTTATCAACTAAGAACGTAGCACTGTGACTCATTTTATTTCCTGTTTAAATTTTTAACAAAAAAAATTGGCAAATGACCAAAATTAAACTCATCAATATAAGCCACAAAGCACTCCGTGTATGACTAATTGTATTTTATTACACTCACTTTCCAAGAGCACATGTCACATGTCAAGTTAAACTACGTCAAATATTTCTTGAGATTCTCATTCTCTGACATGTTATTGATGAGTTAAAGTTTTGGGAACCAGAGAGAAGGAAAACTGTGTCAAGTCTCTTTTCACTTTTTCCAAGTCATGCATTTATCGGGAAAATTATAAACGAACTCTGCATATTTTTTCCATTCCATAGAAATAATTTCATTTCTCGTATTTAAACTTTTACATAGCTGTGTAGAATTTTTATGAAATATTGAAAAACTTTAAAAGACTTTTATAGTTTGACTTATGTTCGTTATAAAGATAAAAGATTGAACTTCTTAAATGATGCATAATTTGAATATTTGCTATCAACTTAAACAGGAGTTTGAAATTATCTATAGGAAGGTCAGAATTGATATTAAATATCTTCATAGAGAATTTGATAATCTCAAACTATGAAAATGAACGAGTCGACAGCATTTACAAAATGTTATAAATTTTAATGACTTTAATTTCGTGGTGAAAATTTTAACGTTCCTACATTCTTAATTGCTTCCATTACCTGACATTGCTTTAACGACGTATATCCTTCTCTCGTTATGATAATCAATGACACTGTTTAGTGTCACATGAAAAGGATGTAAAAAGTGAATCTAAAAACAATTTATTTTAATGATCTTGTAGAAGTGAAATAAACACTGTTGGTTTCAATAATGATCTCAATGAGAGCGATGAAAGTGCATGAAAATGAGAAAAAAGAAGGAAATAAGAATTTTCCTGCAGAAATTAAACTAATAGAAACAAGTTCTATGGATCATACCACACACATTCAAAGCAGTAAATTTAGTCACTGATAAGAATTGCAAAAGCAGAGTTTAATCAGAAGGAGCGCGCCCATAATTCATAAAAACGTAGAAACTCACATATGTTTCTCGAAGCATAAATCACGAAAGTCATACCACTAGTTATGAGAAGTTAGCATTATACGACTGCACACCATCCCCTAAAGTATGAGATTCACAACCAGCAAACGTATGGAGAAACGAGAGAAAATTAATAAAATTAAATTGTAGAAACAAAAACAATCAATTATAAAATCTAATTAAATTTACTTTTCATGAAAATTGAATCAAAACCTGATATTAAATTACATTTACAGATTTTTCTCATTCACTTTACATGCTTCCCACATGGTTACAGCATAATGAAGTTTGAATGATATGTAAAGTTTCCCTCAAAAATGTTTAGCTGTTAGAGAGCTTCAATGATTCGTTTTTAACTGATTATTATGCGTGAAATTAGTTGGAACAGACATTTGAAAATATTCCATCAGAACATTTCTAAAGCTTTGACTTTCTTTTGATTAAATTATAAAGTTATCTATGTTATCTTATCTTATCAAAATAAACATTAATTTTCTCAACCATCAATCGAACAGCAAATAAAAAATGTATAAATAACGATTCTTATCGTAGTGATGACTTTTTTATCTGTCCACACCTATTTCGATTTTTTTTTCTTTCGATTTTTGTTTACCTCCACTCACGCTATCCGTTAAGTACATAAAAAGTCGATTTATTCGCTTCAAATATTTACATGAGCACCTAGGCGCAGTAAACTTCAAAGACAAATTAAAAGAAATTATTCAAGAGATTTCTATCGACACCTCAGATTTATAATTCTATAATCTGATTTTGGAATGTACAAAAAACAAATCGAATGGAAAACTTTTTTTGGAAAAAGAAAAACAAAAAAAATTGTTTACAAATTCGTTTAAAGCAACGAAACATTGCACAAAAGGCCAGAGAAATAAATAAACAAAAATAATCAGGTGAGGAAAGCAAACGCAAAAGCAAAAAGTGTTTGTTTACTTATTTTAACGGTATTTCACTCATTTTGTTGTTTGATGGATAAAACAAGTTGGCTGGCGATGAAATTTTCAGCATTCCAATTTACAACCAACGAGACTTATCAACCTCATCAGTCTTATCTAACTTTTTCCTTGCATTGCAGTATTGTATGATGGAAAGAAGAAAAAAACACAATTTTTTTAATTAAAACTTTTTCTCATCCTTTCTTTTGTTTTTTTTCCTTCGCGCAACCCTTTAACTTGACTCCCTCTAACTTTCGTTGTTCACCTTTTTATTCGCCCCATAACATAATTGATTCTTGTTGTTGGTTTCTACGCTGAAGCTTCTGCAGTCGAAGTGGGATGAGAAGAATTAAAAGAAATTAAATTAAAATTCTCTTTCTGCTTATTAACTTTATTTTATATCTGCATGATGGAAAACTTCCCATTCCTCACCCACGCATACACAAACAAGCTCACATACGCCCCCAAGAAACATAAAAAGTATTTAATTTAAACTTTCTTAATTAACAACTGTTATCTTCACATCATAATTTGAATAATGAAACATGAAGTGAAGAAGGGAGAAGAAAAGTTTTAATTACAACTCAAACTATTTTAAGATGGATTTTCTCTGATGCAACTTCTTTAATTGCTTGCCAGGACTTATCATTTAAAGAGATGCCCTCGATGCTTCTAAACGAAAATTTAAATAGGAGAGAACATTTTCACAGGTTTTCCTTGATTGAAATTTCAATCTTTAAAAAATATCCTTAACTACTGCTTAACAATTATTTTACGTATTTATTAATTACATCATCAAGTTGCAGTGAAACTGGAAGGAAGAACAAAAACAAAGTTTTTGAGGAAAACTTTTGCCATTAATTTGTGAAAGTAAAAAAAAGCTTCATTGTTCACAGGTTTCATTCTTCTTTAAAAAGTTTCCTTTTAACTCGTTCCATTTTAATGAAAAACTCACGTCGCTTGCTTCTTCACCCATTTCCACCCACTCATTTTCAGATTTTCCTTTCCTCGCATCCATAAAACATTTTAATTTATTTTCATTTAGCTAATTACTTTTTGATAACCTTTTTAACATTCTGAGCTTAGCAGAGTTAATTTGCTTTTAATTATATACGCCTGTTGTTGTTTACGGCTTGATGAATGCAATTCTTTTAACGACGGATGGAATCCTATTAACACCTTTTAGGAAAAGAAACCTTTGAAAAGTTCAAGAATTAATAGACATCAAGCATATATGTGTGCTTAATTGAAATAAAAAATTGAAGATAAAGACTTAATCAATTTATTTTAATCTTGAACCTTGAAATAAACTTAATGGAAATTGTCGAAATTATACGAATTTAAAATTAATTTGCTTTTGACTGTCGTTGTTCTTTAATTTGTTAAATATTTCGCTCAGTAAATTAACCAACAATGATGATTCCGGAATTGCATTGAAACAACTTCCACTTCTCGCATTAATTCACTTCACTCTGTAAAACAATTCAAATCTCCATGTTGTTCAGGAAATCATGAGAATAACAATGCCCGTAAAATTGTGCAGCAACGAGAAATAGGAGAGGAAAAAAAAAGCACAATTGGGATTTGAATCCTCAAGCAAATCCTCAAAATACACGACAAACAAACGCTAGGGAAAAAATTAAGCACAAAAAAAGGAAAATAACGTAATAAATGTCTATTAACGACCACTGTGACTGGTACAGAAAGTCGACCTCACTCCAGAACCATTTACAATCCAACCATTGTTGTTCATTTTTCTACATTTTTTGCTTATGAATTATGGATTGAAAATTGGAGCTGCGATTTACCCTCCGTTGGCCGTTTATCATTGCATTTTTTATGCTTTTCCGTTGTCGGTTTTTCATATTTTTTTCATGTTTTGTTCCCTCACTATCGTTGCATGATTTCGTTTCGAGAACTTTTGTTTTTTCGATTTAATCGCCATCAATGATGACTGTGAAGTTCTCTGTTCCCATTAACTTAATACATTGCCGAGGCTTACTTCATTTTCATAGGAACAAAACTTACGACACTTGACGTTGAATTTCACTCGTCAAACTCCAAACCATGAATGTTCTTTTTAAACTTCCTTGCAACAAAAAGCGCTCTTGCCAGTTTCAGAAGCCTTTTAATAGTTATTCATTCCCTTGCGTAATTTCATGCTTTCCCGAAGAAGAAAAATCACGTTCCTTAAACGTAACAAAGTTTTTGAGTTTTAAAGGGAAAAAATTTCTTGATTTTCTCATTTCCTTAAAATAGTTTTATGAAGAAATTTAAGTTACAAGGAAGCGTTTTGTAAGAGCTCGAAGCACATTTCATTTAAAATTGAAAGGCTTGAAATTTTTTTTGGGTACAATTTGAATGTTACGGCTTGTCACGTTTTGCCAAGATCTTCGTTATTAGATAGCACTTACGAAAATATTTTACCCAACCAATTTTCGGGACTTGCCACAAATAAAAGTAATGATTCTCCAACTTCAGAGACATTTAAAAGATTTTTATCCCACAGAACGAACACCCACGAAAATTAATTCTCAAGATTTTACTAAAAAGCGCCAACGCAAATTGTTACATGACTTTATACATATTTTCATCTCATCCGACAACAATTTTCTTACATTTCTACAAATTAATCCTTTTCACCAGAAAATTTCTACAGTCATCTCTTTGAAAATAAATTTTCCAATGATCGTAAAATTCAATTGAGCATGCAATTCCTCAAAAACGCAAAAACTTTGCTTTTCGAATCATGGATGGAAATTTTCATTACGAGAATTTGTTCAAAAAACATTAACATAAATTAATTTAAGAATCTTTCTTTTGTTTTCTGTTTTTCCGCCTCTTTCATTTCAATCCAAATGATTCTCATAAAATTCTTAACGAAGTTAGAATATGCAGGATTTTAAGAATTGAATTTCGCTGAGACTTCTGTTTGCGGTGATGAAAAAAATGGAAATATAAACAAGTAGGAAGAGGAAAAAGGTCAATTAATATAAAACAAGATCATGTTTCAGTTGGTCATGTTGTCGTCGTTGTTGTGCTCTAAAAAAATTAATCTCATTAAAAATAAAAATTGTGATAAAATCATGTTTTGATTAAAGAATAACTTTTATTCCCTTTTTCTCGTATTCAACAGTGGCAAAAAATAATTCCTTTTCAACTCTTTTCATGTACGAAATGTGAAAAACTGGAAGCATTCCTTTGCGCACACTTCACCAAAAATGGTCAACATTATTCTATGCTTCAAATCAAGTTCAAGTCGAAAACGAATAAAATAAACAAGGAAAGAAAGAAAACAGAAATAATTGGAATGATTTTTAAACTTAATCAAAATCATATAACAAGCGAATTTAACAATTCAAAGCCAGAATGTCTGTTTTTTGTTCTACTTTGTTGTCATGTTGTGCGATTCGCAACGCTATTGTTGGTTAATTGGAATTTTGAAAATTGTTACATAGTTGAACGTTTACGAATAATTTAGAATAAATTATTGACATTTCTCATCCCATAAATTTATATAAAAACTTTCCTTTTTTAAAATAAATTTGCAGTGCAACTATGAAGTCAAACGTGACACTTTTTTCAACAAATAATTTCATTCAACATCAAAAATCTTAAAAGATTCAATAATAATCTGTTAAGCCCAACACAAACCTCCCTTCTTATCCACTGTTCTTGCAAATGATTCGGAAGCATTGTCGTTTTTCCCCTTTCTCCTTCTTTTTTATGTTTCCAAATCAACATCCCATGTCGCTGTCAATTTTAAAAGTTTTCCATTTCATGATCAAAGCAGATCATTATAAGTTTAAACGTGCATCGTCAGAAAGATTTTTAGATCAAAACGAATTTGAACAATTCCAGTGTTTGTGTGTTTTTTTCCTTCATCCATTCTCGTTTCGTCTTCAAATCCTCATTAAAAGTGTGATTTTACTTTCCTTTCTTTCTTATGTTTTATGTCGCATATAATACATGCTTATAATTTAATATTTAAGAGTAAAGTAGAAGCAGTAAAGATTTTTTGACATAAAGAAACCCGAAGCACTATTTAATGCTATCAACTCTTTAAATTTTTTAAAGTGAATTTATTAATTTAAATTACAACGTCGAAGTTAGGATGGGAGATGCTGAGGCTATCGATGAATCAATTAAAATTATGCAATTCGAGGATGTCGTTATCTGCATCATTTATACTTGAAAATAACCACAACAACTCATCATTAAAATACCATTGAATACCATTGTGAATCAATCTAATTATACTTTATCTGGGAAGGCATTAAAATTCAGATTCAGTAATTTACTGTAGAATCAGAATCTCTAATGAGACCCTCACTGTTCCTTTCATCATTAAAATATTTTTAATTTTCCATTGCTTTGGCTTTGTTTACTGTTTGATGTTGTTTCCTTCTTCGTTTTGGAGATCCAAAACAAGCGGCATGCTCCAGAGAAAAATCAAAAAATGAAAGAATATGATGGCAATTAAAACTAATTGTGAAAGAAATGAAATCAATACCTGTGCTGACTTACATGCCTTTTATGTCAAATAGTTTGAAGAAGCGACGAGAAAATGAAAAATTCTAACAAAAAAAAAAACAGGCGAAAATACCAAAATCAATTTTAATGAACCTCGAACAAAGTCGCAAATATTTTTCGTCTCTCTTTCGTCTGATTTTGTTTTTTGATTTGATTTTTTCCCTCCATCCATTCATTGATAAACATTTTTAGTCGCCGTGAAAATATTTCTATCGCTTTCTCTCTTTCCCTCTTTGTACCTTGTCACTCTTTGCCTTGCAGTGGTTTTAATTGGAACTTGAATTGTTTGCTTAGCTAAATGGATTTTTTGAAAACTTTTCTGAATTGCTAGGCAGTTATTATGAAGTCGATATCAGTTTTTCACTCGACATCAGCTTGACTCACACCAACAAACTTATGATTTATGCTCAGAAGAATTTTTAGTGATGCGAAAGAATGGTAAAACGTTGAGGATCTTCAAATATTTACAAACTGTTATGCTTCACTTTTTTCTGCATTCTCCGACTATTTTGATTCGACAAAAAATTTTCTCGTCACGTCATTCATTTGCAGGTTGCAACATACCCGAAGTCATGCGTTGCTATTCAAAAAAGTGCAGAGAACGTCAAAATTATTACTCGACAACGCATTAGAAAGATAGGAAAAGTGTTTGTAACCATAGTTAAGTCAGATGAACAAAAAATCGAGGGTGCAATGCAACAGAAGGATGAAAGGAAAACACTGCGGTGTCGAAAATTTAAAGTTTACAACACTTGTGGGAAAGAACGACATAGAAAAACGCAAAACGTGATTTTATGTTTGCATTGCGTTATTTTCAATCAGAATTTCAATTGCGCATTTTTTTTTTCGAGGGTAATAAAGCAAGAGAAAGAGACAAATCATCGAAATTCATTGAGTTATTTATATCAATGCAAAAGTAATTTTTCAAGCTGTCTGTGTGTACCAATGCAGTGGTTTGAATCAGGGATTGAAACAGATTTCTTGCAATTCGTTGTGAATTTATAAATAGAACAAAGCTTAGTTTAAGACCTGATTTAGATCTATTAAAAACTGTTTTAATGTCGCATTTCGAGCGATATTTTCTATCCACTTGGAAACATCCACGCGAAATTCCTAAAAAAATCACTTTTTCTGCTAAATTGCTAAAATTATCATGAATCTACTCTGTAGACTCATTTTCACATGAATAAACTTTTAAATCTTCTTTTTTGAGATTAGAGAATTCTTTGTTTATTTTTGTATTATTTAATTTTCAATCTGCCAACCAAGAAAGACTCAAACAAAAACATAGTTTTTGAGTTAGGTAGCAAAACTTTGTTTATGAAATTTTCCACTTCACTTATTACTTGCTTCCTAAATTTGGCTTTCGGAAAATTTATTTTCCTCTAGCTTTACTTATTTTAGTGAAAATTTATTGCTAGGTAAGTAAAATTTTCATCATGAGACGATGCGGGAAAAGTGATTTGGTTTTATATTTTCTTCTATTGCCTGAGGATTGCGTAATTAATTCTTTCAATCAGTTGAAATTATTCTGGCGTTAAACTGTAAATAGAATTAACTTTCTTTACCTTTGAGTTTCCAATAATTAGAGAGAAGGAAAAATGTTTCATGTTTTCGTGAATTTTTATCAAAAACAGAAGCGAAAACTTTTTCACTTTGTTCTCTCAGCAAACGATTAAACGAGTAAAACATTTGTAAAAGCTTTTAATCAACTCAAACGCTGATAGATAAAACGAAAATCCGTAAACTAATAAAAAATTTAAACTAACAATTAACAAAACTTTAAGTATGTAAGCAAATAACAGATTGTGATCACATTGTTGACAAATAAGCTTAATCAAAGTTCATTCACAGCGTTGCAAAGTTTGCAAACAAAGTCGTTACGGTTAGGCACAACGTATTATAGAACAACAGAGCTAAAAAGTAAATTGGAAAATCTCGAGAGAATAAGAGCAGGAAAATGTCATTAATTAGCGTTCTTGTTATGTGAGACTTCTTTTGCTTCTAGCATTTGCGAGGGTAGAATTTTCCTAATTAGCCGCGCAATATACGGCGCTTGTAAGTGATTTTTTCCATTCTCATACCGAATTTTCTCTTGAAACGTAACAACGAAAACGTTGTGGGAGAAGAGATGCGAAAAGATTTTCCTAATAAAAGTTAAGGGAAGGGGAAGAGGGAAAACATATTCACATAAGTGGCTAAACGGAACGACGAAAGAGAACACGCTCTGATAATGATGAGGGGTTAATTTCATGAAGTATACATTCGTTGATTGAGGAGCTTGTTAAGTCGATGGAAGAAAGAAAATCTCTTCGAAAAAATCATAACTTAACGAGACTTTCTCTACCAAAAAAATTTAATTGGTTTCGTATCATCTTGCGCTTAACTTTCATACTTTTTCCTCCGTCTCAACTGATAAGCATCCTTTTTTCTTTTTTCCTTTCAACCATCAGTGGAATAATAAGCAGAAATGTTCATGATGCTTTCCTAGTGCCCCCGAAACAAGATATAACAAGGGAAATGAAAAAAAAAAACATCCTTAATGGCCAATTAAAGAGATGTTCCACTGACCATACACTAACAGGGCCAGTCTGTCAACAATGTCACCGACATCCCAGAATACATTACCATTAAAATTTTAAAGTAAACTTAACTATCATTGATCATAACGAATTTACATTGTGATTTTATTTGGCTTTGTATGATTCAACAGAGCAAAGGTTTTATTTCCTTGCAATTAAATTTCTCATTTTGTTTATGTTGTGTGCTACGAATCAAAAGTCTGATGATGCTGATGCTGATGGGTTATACATCCTTTTTTTGCTTTAAAAATAAAAACAAGCAGAAACAGAAGCTTGGGGTTTAGTTGCATCCCGCATATCTACAAGCATGAGAGAAGTGGACAACGATTTAGATGGAAATATGCTTGTGCGTGGGTGGATGGAATGAAGAACATGCAAACAACGAACAGGAAAATTGTTTTCAAATAAAGGGTGAATCAGCTTTCTTACTACAACTTTTCATAAACCATTTTTTTCAACAACAAACATAAATCCCCAAAGCGTTCTCTAAAGTAATAATAAAGATGTGAAACATAAAAGTTGCCTTCGGACATACAATAATGATTTAACAATGGTAAGTTATTATTATTTAATGAGAATGTCAAGGGAAGATACACTGAAGTTGATTCTTATTGAGTTAAGGGAGAATATTGAATAACTTTTTATCTCACTTCCACCGACTGTTTTGTTTCAATCTGATTTCATTACTAATATTTTATTAGCCAACTTAATATCAATTACCATCATATTTTAACAGCCTTTATCGATTATAAAATATTTTGAGCGTCCGTCTATTGAAGATTTCGAATGAATAATGATGATTTAGAGCAGATGCAGATGTTCACATATAATTAGACATTCACTTGCATTTGCTGCTCGTAGCTGTCACATATCTCAGGATTTTATAGCTTTTTGAATAAAATGAAGTGAAATAGTTTATGCATGAGAAATTATTATGAATGTGTCTGCAAATAGGATTTCACGCAAATCATATCGCATTTGAGGGCCATAGACTTGTTCAATTAATATTTTGTTGTGATTTAGTCTAGAAGTAAGAAGAAAAATAGCAAACAAAATATTTTGAAACGTATAAAATCTCTTGGAGAATTTTCTCATCTTTTGTTTCTTATTTTCAAACAAAAACTTTTAATATATTTGCAATGAAAAGCGAAATGTGTAGCTAAGGCAACTTAAGGGCTGAAAACGAAAATTCCTCTTGTCGATACCAAAGAGCTTTAACTATTCGCATTCTTGAGATAATTAATTAAAAATTCTTGATATAGCAGAGCGTCGTCGTCGACGAGATGGGAAAACCAAAAATAATTTTTTTCCGAAATTTTCAATTTTCACATTTAATTATCAAAAATATTTTCATCTCTTCTTCACTCCCTTTGCTTCATGCCTTGTTTGAATATACAACGATAGGGTTTTTAATTAAAAAGACAATGAATAATCCTCCTTTGATATATTTAGCGAAAAATTTTCCCGCTCTATTCTTTCTTTCATGGTGAATTTTCGCCCGCTTGCTTGTTTTTCAGCGTTTAGTTGTTGTTTAGGTTTTTTCTTTGAGCTCTTCAAGGTTTAAAAAGCAGAAATCTAATAACTCTTTCACGAAATCGACTCCAAAAATAATCTTCTTAGACATAAACTTCTTTTCGAAATTATCAATTGGACGAGTTAAATTTATCATTAAGTTAAAAGCTTTAAAAACAATTAAATTCCATCGCAAAGACGTTTTCCTTTGGTGATCAAACCATGAACGATAAATTAATGCGCTTCCCCCAAAATCTAAATTCTCTTAGACTCAAAGTCTGCGAAGCTATAAGCGGTAATGAGAAGAAAGGGTTCGCTTACCCTACATCGAGATTGTTGTTCTAAAAAACATTTTTAAGATAATTAAGAAGTTTAAATTAAAATTGAATTAAATATAATTGGATATGCAAAAGAATTTTGATTGAGAGCTTGTTTACATTGAGTTGAGAAACGGTTCTGAAGTTTATCACAGGCGCTCGCGTACGATGACTTCAAATTAGATTAATTTTGCCTTTAATTTCATCGCAATTGCTTGTTGTATAAAATTAATCAAAGGGTAATTTATGCAAAAAAGGTTTCAAAGCAAAGCGCTTGCTCATTAACGTTGTAAATAAGCGAATTTTTTTTTGAATTCCGTTCATATCTAATAAATAAGAAAATAATTTCATTCTATTTATATACAATGAAAGCTTCTCAAATAAATTTTCAGTTTGTAAGAGATTCGTTTCGTAGCGTATTTAATCATTGTATTCTAAACAATCTCCATCAAATTCATTCATAAAATAAGATAAAATTTTGTAGAATCATGAAAATAATGAAATCGAAAATAAATTTTTGCTGTAGGCTTTGAATTGAATATTGAATCGTTGCATGTAGTTCAGAAATAAAATGACGACAGTAACTACATACACGCACATTGAATAATTAAAACATTCGTCCATGCAAAACTTGCCTCCAGCAACAACTTCTGGTAGTTTCCATTGCCGTCGTTATTATTGCTTCCAATTTGGTAGTATGTGCAGCATTCAATAGACGCATGCAAAACATTTTGCCATATCTTCTGATGGTGACATAAAAACTATTTTAATTGCTTAAATTTCCATCTGTCTCTCTCCCATCGGTTTTTGTAATCCAATAATTGTGTTTTAAGTTGAGAAAAAGGAAGGCAAAGAATGTGCCAATATTTTTAAACAATTAAAACACATTTAAGAAAGTTACTTGATCACATTACATCACATTTCAATTTCTACTTTAAACTTGTTTCTCATTTAGATATTTAAATGCAGTTTTGTTTAATTAAATTGTATCAGAATCTCGAGGTTGTTTTCGAATGCATTTCAATCAAGAAAACTTTTAATTTGTATCATTCATAACTCTTTGTTGAAACTTTCAAACTTTAGATTTTTATTTAAATTAAATCATTGAAGAACGTCAAGGAAAATTAATGTGTCAAATGGAAAATCATTTAAAATTTAATTTAACACAAAGCAGCTTAATCGATAATTTGATAAAATCTTGAAGATTTTCATCTTGGAAAATTGTTGTCGTTGGATCATTGTGTTGGAGTTAGTGAACGAAAAGCGTCTTCACATCATCACAAAAATGTGCTTTTGACAGTTATGTTGTTTTTCGACATAATTTTAATTAAAATTTATACACTCTTTATTCTCATGCCTTTAAGCGTCATTTACCGCGTGTTAGAGAGCGCACGAATAAGATGCCAAACCAAAATTATGGTTTAGCTAATTGATTTCAAATTAATTAAAAAAATATTTTAATTTTTCTTAAACTAGAGCGATACTTATCAATGTCAAATACATTCATCATTTCATGCGATAATGAAATTTTCTTTCATCTTTTCTCAGTAAAAAGGAGAAAAGTTTTCGAAAGTCTATTTTCACATAAAACTTTGCGAAATAATTAGCATTTTCTTTGTTTTTCATAGCGTTTCATTTTAATTGAAGATATGACGATGGGAATAAGTATTAGATAACAATATTAAAGTTTAGTGTAACTAAGTACGTAAACTACAACATGCGAAATTTTGTTTTGCGAACGGAAATAGAGACACAAGAACTCGTTATCAAATGTGGAAAGTTAATTAGTGTATGCTAATTAGTGAGATGTGTAATAAAATGAAACTGATGTGAGCTCGCTTTTCCATTCTACATGCGCTTGTTCGTTAAACTCTAATAAGTTGAATATTATCCTAATTAGTCTAATTAATAGCTTCAAGCTAATCGCACCACTATTCAAAGTTGAATGTTTGTAACTAATCTCGTCAAAAATCCTGTTCGCTCCTCCACCAATTAGCGCGAAAGTTAATTTCGGATTATGGAAGCGGAACTCTCATTGAGAAAATTTGTGAATTAATTACGTGGAACTTTGGAAAATACACAAAAAGTCTTTAAAATTGTGTTTTTCATTATTTCACAAATATCTAAACGCAAACAATTAAAAGTTTGATTCATTATCTTAACAAAGAACAATTGGAGTATCGTTTGGTTTTCCTTTATGATTCAACTCTTGCGGAAAATGTTTTGTTCCAATTGAATGAAAATGCTCATCGTATCAGATATTACTGTGATAAAATCATAATGAATTATATCATTCAGTCGACTGTTTTATTTGCATTCATAATCACGTGAAAAGTTGTCGATATTTGATCACTTCCTAATTAATTAACATTCCTTTCACTTCATTGCCTCAACCGTATTTCAATAAATAGAAATAACGATAAATTAAGAAACAATTAATTATTTATACACATTTGTAGCGATATCTAATTAAAGAATTTATTTTTGATTACATTTTAATTGACTTTCGGAAGCATATTGACGAAGGCGAGTAAAAATACTTGAAACATTCAATTCAAACGAGAACATCTTTAAGAAGTCAACCAAACAAACGAATGAAAGTCAACAAAACAAACTAAAGCCGAGATAATTTTTTATTTTCTTTTTTTTTTGCCTTAAATGCGAAGTAAGTAAGAAAAAGAAAGAAAGCATCACCGAAAATCATCCCCTAATAGAGATCAAAATCGTTTTACAGCTTTTGTTGGCAAAACGAGTCGGGTTGGGATTTTTGTCAACAAATTGGACTTCTTATCTCAAGTGTTTTATCACTTCTGAGTCAATTACATTGTGACGGAGACTTTTTTCTTCTCATTCTTTTTTTTTAATACGTCGCTCTCTGGCAAATCCCATCAAAAGCATTTTGTCTCGGTCCCTAGAAAAGTCTGACGAATAACGCAGGAATGAGATGGGATTAGAGTGAATGGAAAATTGGCTGTAATTTGTTGGACAATCCACTTCAAGTGCACGTTATCAACGAATGTTTCCGACACATCACCGTGTCTCTATTGTGTCATGTCTTCTGTTAGCAACGAATATCAATTAAATTCAATTTCACTCATTAAATTAATTAAATTCCATGATTGCTCCATTAAATTTCATGCCATAGCAGATATTTAAAGTCCCACATGATTCTCATCTCGCTACGATTATTTATCATCTCAATTATGTGATTTCTTTTTTTTTATACATTCGCTTACTTTCCAAGGGCGGTTGAAGCTGTAGGTGTATAGATGATGGCAGAGAACATTTAACATTTTAATTAAATTGCACACAACTCATATGATTTAAATGAATAAATCATCAAACAATAGCAGGCTGCTATAAAGGGGAAGGATTCTAAGTAGGATGAGAAGGACGGAACCTCATGTTGATTTAGGCAAATTTTCATTAAAATTTTGTGCTTCAGTTGAGCAATTTTAATAAAATTTAATTGCTCTAGAAATTGATAAAGCTCGGGGAGATGTTTCTGATGTGTCCGATGATTTATCTGTCTGTATCCACCTTTTTCCTTCTCCAACTCTTAGAAGTTTTCTAAAATTTTCACTCAATTGAACAACGTTGTCCCATCATCGTAGCTCAACATTGATTAAGAAATTCAAACAATCAACAAAAAACAGGAGAGAGGGGAAAGCAAATTACAAGAAAATTTCCTCTTAAAATGCCAATCAATATTGAAAAAATAGAACCGCAACTCACTTAAAATGATGAGGAAATTAATTAATTTGATTTCATTAATTAACTGCTAAACTGGCAATGAGCATCAACAAGTTTATTTATCAATTGAATATTTGCTATGGATTTTTATCGTCTCCTTTCATGTAAATTCATTAATGCGACAAATATGATGCAACCGTAATTAATTATAAATTTCGTAGCTATGCAAACTTTACCGAATGAATGATTTCTGCTATAATTGATTTACCTTGACATTGTCCAATTAGTGAAGTTTACCACATTTGTGATTCATGTGAATAATATTAAGAATCCATTTTAATTGGATGCTTCTATTTATTTCTATATTTTGAAATAATTAGACATTAGCTTCATGTTTTAGAATGCTTTTGAAGATGATTTTAGTCATTTACAAAATTATGAATCTTTTTGTTTATAAAGCTTTCAAATTGGAAGAAGCTTTTTATGAAGCAATAAATAAATCAAAAAGTTTCCAATAAATTCGAATAGAATTATTTCAATTAAGGAATGAATGAAATTTAAGTTCATTATGTGAATGCAGATATTTAGAGATTGTAACAAAGCTTCAAATTTATGCTTCGTTAGTGCTTTTATGTTTTAACAAAAGCTAAAGACAAATACAATGTTTGTTGAAATTAAGCTTTTAATTCGATAAATTAATTTAATCCTATGTAGGTTTTATTATTTTCAAACGAAAAATATTTTTAATTCTTTATTTTTTGCTATTCACTGATAAGACGAGTAATCTTTATAACAGTATTTAGAAAGAAAAAAAATAAATCCTTCGATTGTAGAAGCTGAAAAACAAAATAATTTAAAGTTCAGTGTGATTTGAAGTTTTCAAGCGACAAGAAGGAAAATAATTTAAAAATGTTCTTTTATATTTTAATTCTTATCGTCTTGGTTATAGTTTGGCTGATCAAAGACGATTTGTTCAATGCGGAACTCTTAAAAGATTACAGCGAAAATTCGGTGCCTTTGTTAAAGTCGTCGTTCGGTCTCGTTTTTAGAGGCTCAGGTTTGTTTTCATTTCTCGTAGGTCCCCGGTTCGAATCCCAGCCATGAGGTAAGGTGAAGTTTA